AATCCAGAACTAAACAGAGATGAGATAAACTAAATTACCACAACTTGCTGTACATTAATAACCACGTATTTGTGGTTTTGGTCCTTGGGCTTTGTGCTGCATACCATTTTTGGAAAGTTAGCATTCTACAGAGCTTTGTTTGCATCTTCTGTCCTTCTGAGTCTTAACCTATCTGTAAATTTCGGCAGGCTAATCTTTGTAAATAACCGGACAGTCTCAGAGTATTTATGTCTCCTGATTTGCAGCTGACGATCAGGAGGAAGGCTGGTCTCCCTGGTCAGAGTGGACAGAATGCTCAGTCACATGTGGATCTGGAACCCAGCAGCGAGGAAGATCATGTGATGTCACCAGCAACACTTGCCGAGGCCCATCCATTCAAACCAGGACCTGCTCCCTTGGCAAATGTGACAATCGCAGTGAGTGTTACAATGCTTTATTTTACTTTGCATCCAAATAAAAGGACAGTAAATCTGGGATTAATCTTAAAAGAAGGATAAAGATGAGGTACCATGAGATTAATCACTTTTTAAGATATGGTCAGTCCTAAATACCTTTACAGTTATCTAATTTTTTGCAGTATTTTTAAGGGGTACAATAGCTCCACTGTTAAAGACACGGTGCTTGTCAGCTGGAAAGCTTGGGTTCAAGACCCAAGCACCGTGAGATGGGGCGAGCTCCCATTACTTGCCCCAACTCCTTGCCCACCTAGCAGTTCAAAAGCAAGTGAGTAGGTAAATAGGTACCTCTTTGGTGGAAAGGTAATAGCATTCTGTGCACCTTTGGCAAATAGCCATGCTGGCTATAGGACCATGTAAATGTCTGCAGACAATGCTGGTTACCTCAACTAAAAATTGGAAATGAGTACGGCCCCCTAGGGTTGGACATGACTGAACAGGGGAAAACTTTACCTTTTTCTTTACCTTTATTTTTCTCCAAGAGGGAATTGCTCAAGTGGCAATTGACTGGTGAAAATATTGCTCTGTCTGACCCAGATGGGTGTTTATAGTGTGCAATTTGTTGATATGGCTGGAGGGCTGACTAAGAGGTAGCTGGAACAGTGAGTCCTTGAATTACGAACCAATTTATATACGCCTAGAGATAAATTGGAATTTCCCTTAGATTCTTTGGGGCTGAGGATGCAAGTTCATTATTATTTTTTTCTTTCTCTTGATTAGTACGTCAAGATGGTGGTTGGAGTCACTGGTCCCCTTGGTCTTCTTGTTCCGTAACTTGTGGAGTAGGCAATATCACACGCATACGACTCTGCAATTCCCCAATCCCACAGATGGGTGGGAAAGGCTGCAAAGGAGGTGGACGTGAAACTGAAGAATGCAAAAGGGACCCATGTCCAAGTGAGTTTGTTGACTGGAGTCTCTGTCTTGTAGTAGGGCCATATGCCTTGGCGTGAAAAGCACGGCCTGCAGAAAAGCCTTCCACGGGTATTATGAAAGAGTTCAAAATCTACATGTTCTACAGAGGACAGCATCTTCTTTGATAGAAGCTCTTCATGTCATTTAGAGTGTGGATTTACCAGAGTTTCTAAATGCATAGAAGACTTCCACAAATAAAACTGTCTTTTTTTTTTTAAGGTGGCCCATGGCATCAGAGTTAGTAAACTCATTCTTGTGCATCAGCCTTGCTTTTTTTAGGTTCACATGGAAGTCTGAAAAAGAAAGAGTTGCATAATGAATAGCAGAGAGATACTGGGCTGACGCGAGGTGCTGAGCACATTTTTTGCATCACTACTGAAGTGTGCATAGTCCTAGTGTGCAGTGTTATTATTCCAATAATAACCACTGTATGTCAACAACAATAGCTAGAGATAAATTTTGAGTACAACTTAGTGCTATCTAACGTGACTTGTTTAATTTACTTTAATAGAAAATGGGCATTTTTTCTTGATTACATTTTTCTTCTGAAATGCCATTAAACTGTAGGTGTTTTAACTACAGTTACATCAAATGCAGTCCAGGATCACTTTATCCATTCGGATCGGTGAATTATGGTATAATATTAGTGAGTTCCTTTGAGGATGCAAATTGTGTTTTGGACTATTGACAAGACAAAAAAAAGAAGCTTTATATTAATTGTACTAATGAATTGACCAGTTAAAATATGTGTGGTTACTGCAGACACTTATTGGTTGAATTCTGTTGCTTATGCTAAAATTTTGCTGTCTGACTTCTTCCAGTCAATGGTCGATGGGGTCCTTGGTCTCCATGGTCTGGATGCACAGTTTCCTGTGGTGGGGGCATTCGTGAGAGATCTCGTCTCTGCAATAGTCCAGAACCTCAATATGGTGGAAAGGCCTGTGCAGGCGATGTCATTCAACGTGATATGTGCAATAAACAGGATTGTCCAATAGGTGAATATGGAATACACTGGAATGTCACATGAGTTCTAAACTAATGTACTGTATCTCTGTGAGATATGTGGGGGGAGTCGCAACTCATTGATACATTAGCTGAATTACATATAGAAGGGACCGGATTCTAAATGTGTCCCTTCACATTGTATATACAGTGTTTAGCATTGCTGCTCTGGGTTTTAGTAGAAAAAGAAAAACTGAATAATCTATGAACTGTTCATAAAGCTTTATTGAATTAACAGAGACATTTTCCTGTGACAAGTCAGAATACATCAGTAGAAAATTATAAAAAATGAGAGTAAAATATTAAAATTAATTGTTTTAGCATATTTAATTAAATGTTATCACATTGGCTGATGTTTGGCATATTTCTAGACCAAATCAAGTACATAATACCAATATTTTAAAATTACTAATCAACATGTGTTTTTAAATCATCAATAAAATCTTGAGATTTATACTGACATTGATTCATTTGAATTTAATTAATTTAATTTTTATTCCCTTTTAATGCAGCCTATTATTTGTAATTATTTATAAAACCTAAAGAGAAATAAAAGAAAAGGCCAAACTGTTATTTTTTGCCAATTTTTCTTGTGCCTCATCTGGGCAAACTTAGAATAGAATCTTATCTAATTGAATTTCCAGCTTCAAAATATTTGTGCCTGGAGCAGCTGTTCCAATTTTAGTGGAAGTGTTCCATGACTATCTTGACCACCCCAGAAATGTTCTAAGCTTGAATCAGCCTCTTTCCCAGCTTATAACATCTGTTCTGACTTCTATAATGTTTGAAATACACTAACGTCCACACACTTCCCACAAGGTCAGATCAACCTTTTTTTGAACTCAAAAACATTTTAAACTGAAAACGTTTTTTACACTCTAAACAGAAATCAATACAGTGGATAATATAGAATGCAAAACAGTTTTCCTTCCTCATCTGCCCAAATAGCCTTAAAATCAGTTTCAACAGATTTAGAGGCTATTATTTTGAGGTTACATCAGCTATTGCAGAGAAGACGGGAAACTACTTCTTCAGAAGCATTCATTATGAACACTCTCTTAGTTCTGTCACAGTGATGCTCTTTTATTGCATTTTGACAGATGGCTGTTTATCCAATCCTTGCTTTCCTGGAGCAGAATGCAACAGCTATCCCGATGGTTCGTGGTCCTGTGGTGCATGTCCTGCTGGTTATCTGGGAAATGGATCATTCTGTGAGGACCTTGATGAGGTAGATGAGTTTTAGTCTGTGTGAATTATTTGGATTCCACCTAGGGAATGCAGGTTTTCATTATTATTATTTGAAGTGTCTGATTTAAAAAAAACCTCACTTCTTTTTGCACTTTTTCCCCCTGGGGCAGTGTGCTGTTGTGCCAGATGTTTGCTTTAAGTTCAATCAGAACCATCGTTGTGTAAACACTAACCCAGGATTCCACTGCTTACCCTGCCCTCCTCGCTACAAAGGAACTCAGCCATACGGGGTGGGCCTAGAGGCTGCCAGAACAGAAAAACAGGTAAGTGCCAGAAGATAGGAGACATGTATTCATTCTAGAAGTCTTGTTTCAGAAAGGAATTAAAAGAAAAAAAATTGAAAAAGGTAACATTCAAAACCAGCCCAGATGTTGACAATTAGACACAAAACCATGTCTTCGTGTAGAGAATACAGAATAACAGAGCTGGAAGGGGCCTTGGAGATCTTCTAATCCAACCCCGTGCTCAAGCAGAAGACCTTATACCATTCCAAACAGATGGCTGTCCTGTCTCTTCTTAAAAACTTCCAGTGATGCAGCCCCCACAACTTCTGGAGGCAAGCCATCCCACAGGTTAATTCTTCTCATTGATAGGAAATTTCTCCTTAATTTTAGGTTGGCTCTCTCTTTGATAACCTTCCATTCGTTACTTCTTCTCCTGTCTGCCACGTAATAGGTCAACCCTCTCTTCTCTGTGGCAGACCTTCAAATATTGGAAGGCTACTATCATGTCACTCCTAGTTCCTCTCTTCATTCGATTAGACATATCCAGTCATGTAGAAAGGATGGATTAAAATACTAAGTCACAGAAGTAGATTAAAGCAATGTTTTTCAACCTCTGCCACTTTTAAGAATTCTGAGAGTTGAAGCCATTACATCTTAAATGTGCTAAAGTTGAAAAATACTGGATTTCAATGTTTCCATTCGTCAAACTTGGTTTCTGGTGCCTGCATGAACATATCCACAACAACTTCAAAAGGGAGAGGAGAAGTAGCAACAGGCCAGATTGACTAAGGGAAAATGTAGAGCCTCTGTTTTCTCTGATTTTTGTCAAGAACCTCCCTACCCCACCCCCCAAGGTCCATTTTGTGAAGCTGTTTGACATAGCCATATACTTTTCTGAAAGATCTCTCCATTTTCTAAAAAGCCACATTTTTCCCCCCCAGATTTTTGTTACCTTGGATTTTATTCAGTCATCATCCATTTTCTGACTTATACAGTTTATGGGTTCTAAATGTAAAACTAATATTAAAAGTATGATATCAAAGTTATAATGTAAGCCAATAACAAAGTAGAAACAGCAGCTGTGACTCATTCAAAGGAAATGGTTGTCTGTTAGCTGTGTCTATGGGATCTTTAAAAAGCAATTTATTGGTTGGTTGCCTGCTGAAAAAGTGAATGTCACCATCACTTCTGGTGACATCATGGACATGCCTAAGCAACGCTTTTAAGCAATGGCCTGGAAAGAGCTTACCATCCCCCCTTCCAGAATTTCTTTCTCTTTTCTTTATCTTCCTGAAATTACATAGGAAACGGATAGGGCTGAATGTTCTTGCCTCACAGTAAATTTTATATTGTTTAATTACATCCAGAAGTCTGCAGATGTGAGAGATAAACTTGTGAAGGAATATTTCATTTGACTTAAGGCTACGCTTTAGTTAAAGAGAGGCTTATTCGTAATTGCTACATTGACAGCAGCGCTTAACTTACTAACTCCACAAGCAAATGTTGCTTGGGTCTTTGCCCAAGTTTTTAATGAAAGATGATTATATCTGGATCCAGCTACAAAACGTGTGCTCAAGGCTCAACAATTGATGGGAAATTAAAGCGTCTGTTTCTTTGCTGTTCTGTTAATCAGGAGTTTTGGGTGTCCTATTTGCATAATGCTCTGCTTTTCAGGTATGTGAGCCCTCCAACCCTTGCAAAGATAAAACACACAGTTGCCACAGTTCAGCCGAGTGCATCTACCTGGGGCATTTCACCGACCCTGTGTACAAGTGTGAATGTAGAACAGGCTATGCTGGTGATGGATTCATCTGTGGGGAAGACTCGGACTTGGATGGATGGCCCAATAGTAACCTGGTCTGTGCTGCCAATGCTACTTATCACTGCATAAAGGTAAAGTATATGAAGTAGAGCGTCCTAAGAATCTAAACCAGAGGTCTTCAAACTTGGTCCTTTTATGACTTGTGGATTTCAATTCCCAGAATTCCTCAGCCAGGCACACTGGCTGAGGAATTCTGGGAGTTGAAGTCCACAAGTCATAAAAGGGCCAAGTTTGAAGAACCCTGGTCTAAACTGAAAATAGGGTTTTATTTTTAAATGGTCTTCCACAGGGCTGGCTTTATCATGGTGACTTTATCAAGCTTTATCAAGCTTCAGTTATTACTTCAGTCTAGTTCTGAATCTGGAATAAGAGCAGTCCAGAAAATGTGGAAATTATTCTTCTTTTACCTTTTGTTAGGCCACTTTAGTTAGAAAGAACATAAATGATATATTTCTCTAATCTATCTATCATTTTAACATATAGTCTTCCATATTCTTTTCCTTTTTCTGTTTTGGGGCCTATATTAATTACATTGGAGTTAATTAATTAATTAATTATATCAGCAAGTCAGCCAAATATACACTACACCAGAAAAATCTATATTAAATATAACTTTTACTAAAACAAAATAATCAAACAGAATAAAATGCCAATGTACAATACAGCCCAATATCAAGTGAACTGAAATTACATTCTCTAAAAACATATGAAGTACAGTACTCCATAACCCTGAAACATTAGTGATTTTTTTTTTAAAAAATTAGAAATTAAATTTAGTTTCATTGGCAAATTTTATGTTATTAAGAATTTAGAATCCACTTTTCCAAATATACAAATCTGTAAACAATATTTGAACCAATGCAACAATTAGAGAACTGCACAGCCCCAAATGTAACTGTGCTGCAGATTCAATATTAATTTGGAAGGGAGGAAAAACGTTAGTGAGCAAAACATAATTGTCTATTTGCATTATTTGAAATATACTCAGTTCCTTATTGCTTTTCTTTCTGTACCTTACTTAAAATTGTTTGGCTAATGGAATGTTCGCAATCTGCAAACTGAAGATAACTGCATAAATCTGTGTAATGAATGTATTTCTGTTCTTTAATGACTAAGAAGCAATGTTAGATTTTCACTTAAAGTCACAGTTCAGGTACCATATCCATCTATACTTACAGTTCATTTTTGTGGGGGGCAGTTCTTTTCATTAGTACAGTCTAACTAATTAGACTAATCTATTTAGAAGGCATAAATCTAAAGTCTAAATTATTTAGAAGATATTCTTCCCAACAGCTCAGCCCATAGCTAGATTTAACTAGATTTAAATGGCTTCCTTTGAGCATCTACCAGAAACATCAGATGGTAGATGTCATTTGATATTATGACAATTTAGCAATATTAATAGCAATATTAAGGCTTCTTTTTCCTAGTGCTTGAAAGTTTACAAAAAGATATAAATACTTATATCTCTTTATCCATTATGACTTTAGAAATACATTCAGAACTTCCAGGTTGAACATCCAAGTTTTTTGTTGTCCAAAAGTTGGGATTATTATCTGTCTTTGAAATTAAACTACATACTGATCCAAGATCTTTGTTTATACAGGATAATTGTCCTTTCCTGCCAAATTCTGGACAAGAAGATTTTGATAAGGATGGAAAAGGTGATGCTTGTGATGAAGATGATGACAATGATGGTGTAGTGGATGATAAAGTAAGCTCATATTTCCTACATTAAATTATATTTTCCTTTCAGAAGAAATAAATGTGGAAACTATCAATAAATGTTCAGTTTCTCTGAGGTGTCTTAGTTTTGTATGATAATTTTTTCTTTATTTTAATGGATTTACATATTCCATATGTAATACAAGTATCCTAATTCTCCATGAATTTGTGCCAATTTTAATTATTTCATGCATATTACAGCATCCATCTGGGACTATTAAAAGAATTTGTTTATTTATTTGTTAAATGTATATGACATCTATCTCACTATCCAAGTAACCCTGAGTGGACAATGACAGTTGGACAATGATACCTAGGATAATTTATTTATATAAGAAGTATAATATATGCAGTTCTTATCATAAATGTAGGATAGAATGAGGCCACTTGCAAATTAATTATTCATTAATTTCATATGCACCAGACTGACATGGGCCTAGGAATGCTTCCTAATGATTATAAATGGGAAATCCTTAAAAGCTAGGAATAAAAGTTATATTATATGTCAGCAAACAGGTATATGCAACAAAATTGTCAGATCTTTCAAGAAAGATTTATTTCATGGATGGGGAAGGAGTTAGGACTTTAAGAGAAGTCCTGTATCCCAGTAGCCATTTGTAATTTCATGGAGGATGGTGCCACCTAGAAAAGAGTTTTCTGAGGGTTTTTTTTTTTAACAATTGGAGTGGAAATATTCCTTCCAAACTTGATCTATACATCCATACTTATTCTAAAATCTTACTTCTTCTTTTAGGACAATTGTCCACTTCTTTTTAATCCCCGGCAATTTGATTATGATAAGGATGAGGTTGGTGATCGTTGTGATAACTGTCCATATGTGCACAATCCTGCTCAGATTGACACCAATCATAATGGAGAAGGTGATGCGTGTGCAGTAGATATTGATGGAGATGGTATGTTCCTATTTATTCTCTTCCGTTTTGTTTCTAGAAAGTAATCTAGATTAACTCTCATTCCATATCAAGATATCTTTCTGAAAACACCCTTAGTTCAAGTACTTCTACCCATCCATTTATGATTTTAAGACAAGGTGCAATGTATAGCTGCAATCCTGAAATGAATTATATTCACATTTATTTTATTCATTGTGCATATGCTAACATTCTTATATCTTTGGTTTTTGCCCATCCTTTTTCTAATGGAAAGGAAAAATATTGCCAGCAACAATAAATGCTTGGGCCGGAACTGACCAAAATCATGATAAATCCATGATTTATTATATTGGTTTTATCATTGGGGGATGGGAGGGAGATACATCTATGGAAGGCTATATTTTCAATCAAAATTTTCCACGAATTGATGAGGTGAAATCACTTTTGACAATATCCCCAGAAACTATGGGTTATGGTGATATTTATTGGACAAATAATTCTATAATATTTAATGACCCTTCATCATGTTTTCCAAGGTACTCTGAAATAAAATAGGTTAAATAGATCAGTTAAACAACTCCTTATGGACAAAGGCTATAAACAAAGAGATACTTTCTAATACTAACACGCTCACTTGATATATAAACTTAATAAGGAAGGAAAGTATAATTATGGTCTAACAATTTTTAGTTATTTTATATGTTTTTGTAGGCCATCCAATAATATTATGTGGCAGTTCACAAGAAATTAAAGGAATTAAAATATTTATGTGGAATACACTTGCATGAAAAATCATATTTGATGTGCCAGTCAAATCAAATGTCTTCACCTGAAGTGCTTGCCAAAATGCCTGGAGAAAAGAAAGGAAATTATTTTAGATCTTAGAATAATAAGAATCATAAATTACATGTTTGGCTGAAAGGGAGAGAAAAATCAATGGCGATATTTAACATTATTAAACTGGCAAATATAACCTGAACAGTAGCCCAGCCTTGAAAAATCTACCAACCCAAATAGCTTTGATATTTTTTCAATGCCTTTGGGTTTATGCATTTTGGCATGACTTGCAGCCTGAAACATTAATGTCCTAAGGATGTTGTTGTAGCATTTTTTGGCAGCTGAATCTCAGTTTACAGTTTGGGCAAGGTTAGGGAGCAGAGGAGATAACCTGTTAAGCCTTGGATTTGGTTCAGTGAATGTTTCTTACATACATATTGGATATGTATATCAGCAGAAATTCGAAAGCTTCCCATCGCTTAAAGTTTACATTAATGATTGAACTTATTTTTTGGTTGATGTTCTGGCAAAGTCGCAAGAAAAAACAAACAAACAGAAATTAAAGTATAATTGAAGTATGCAGGAAAATCCTATCAACTTCCATTATTTTCTGGAATTATATCTGATAATACCATTTCCAGGAATACTTTAACATTCAAGAATGGGCACATCTGATTCATAGTAAAGGATTTCGGATTCAATAGTTTTACAATGAGTCTTTTATAAATTATCTGCTGAAAAAAATACTGTATGTGTTTGATAAAAAATAGAACTATGTATATAAGAGGATTTATCTTCAAGTTCACATTCAGGTTCAGGTTCCTGGGTTTACAAATGATGGTCCTCACAAAAAAAACCTAATATAGATCATGCAAATCTGTTTTACATCTAGTTTTCATTAAAAAACCTGGCAGGGTAGCAATTCGGGAAGATACCCTATGATATGCTGTTCTTAAAACATAGAGAGTCTTTTCAAAATTGGTACCTTGAACTGATCGGTGTCTTTCGAACAAAATTATTTGGCTGTGTTCTTAAGTAGTATAACATGCAAAGATTATGTATAGGAGAAATAGACCATTTTAAAACTAACCTAAAAGATGACTCAGTGATGTGGTATCTTGAAGATACTTGATCAGCTTGGAACCAGAAAGCACAATCCTATAGATGGTATCTATAATTTTGTAAATTTTTTTTGAATGGGGGATGTGATTTAGGGCAAGCATGACAAAGCAAACACATCTTCTTTAGCAGGCAAAGGAGACTGCAATAGATATTTAACTGTTTTGCTCAGAATCCAAATTGACCTGTGGATTTTACTATTACAAGACAGTTGATGGCTACTAGCTGGATGAGTTTAAAACTGGAGGTATAGGAAGATGCTATTAACTAAAATGATAAAAACTCCTGATCTTTTATTTATGCTTGCAACTCAATGTCCCAGTGAATATTTCTTCACTTACCCCATAGATATCTGCATGGGGTAGATGTCTCTCAGTCTGGAAGGTTCACGGTTATCTCTGGGTTAATCACAACATGCCTTCAAATACCAGTTGTAACAAAAAACCAGTTCAGCAGGGGGTAGACTTCCATCTTCAGCTTGCAGGCTATTATGAAAAACAAAATGCCATCTAAGATAGGATCTGGCCTGAACCATTTGGTTTAGTTGTATTTACTTATGCAGCACCATGATCTATTCAATATATCATGCATGCCTTGAGTTCAGAGTGACCAATGGGCCATGAAACATATGGGAGAATCCCAGGCTAATCACTCTCCTTTGACCTAACTTCATTCAGACTTTGGGGAAGGGTAAAATGGGGAGAAAAATCTCCATTCCTAACTATTGAAAAAAATGTTGTTTTGTCTGGAATCTCAACATCTGGCTTCATTTGTATTGCTTTTTCATCCTGGCAGATGTTTTCAATGACCGTGATAACTGCCCATATGTCTATAACACAGACCAGAGAGATACAGATGGAGATGGAGTTGGTGATCATTGTGATAATTGTCCCCTGGTACACAATCCCGATCAGGTAAATGATGTACTTCTTCAATATAGAAATGGAAGATGTGGAATTTGAATTATATTTTTTCATTTTTTTCAGCATTGAATATAGTTCTTTTTCTAAACCTAAATTTGCAAGTTGTTGACCAAGTTGCTGGTAATATTGCTGGTTGTTTTAGAGATGCTTATATATCCCCAATTGCCCTTTTTCTACATAATGGAGAAAATTCTTTCAGGAAATAGGAAAAATAAGTAACTGAAGGGAATTGGTAACTTTTGTTGGTAATAAAAAATTCACCCAACCATTTTCATACTAGGGATTAATTTCTATGGCAATAAAGGTATGATCATAAATTCAAGTTTGTTTATATATCTGCATGGTGGTGATGTTATCCATTTAGTCATGTGCATTTAGTCTTGGTGATTCTATGGGATCAAATCTCTCCATATCTTCTGAACTTGCACTAATCTGTCTGTCTGTCTGTCTGTCTGTCTGTCTGTCTGTCTGTCTGTCTATCTATCTATCTTTATATTTCTATATCCCTATGTATGTGTATATAGATAGATAGATAGATAGATAGATAGATAGATAGATAGATAGATAGATAGATAGATAGATAGATATAGATATAGATATAGATATAGATATAGATATAGATATAGATATAGATATAGATATATAGTATAGTACACACACACAGATACACACACACACACACACACACACACAAAGTGAAATGAAATGTGTGTTTGAATGAACTGGAGAGTTTCTCCATGTGTGAGTATGCACTTTTTTTTTAATTGTCTCACCAGGTATTTTAAAATTGGTAACACAGGTGACAGATCACAATAGTCTTTATCACCTTGTCTCATTAGTGCTATGTTTTACTTAGTCATGATTTTATTTGGAAAGGAAAATTGCTCATTTTATATAGAATTAAAATTATTCTTTTCAATAACAGGCCACATGTCTACATTAAAAGCAAATATAATCAACAATCTGTATGTTGGAGATGAGCTGAATGTTTGCATTATTAAAGAACAGCTTTCAAGTTTTCAAAGATCCAACTCAATATATTTACCTTTGATTTCAGCTTATGATCTGGAATTTCTAATTGTATGAAGTTATTGCCTCAGGCTTCCTGTATTTTTTCTTTCAAGGGAACATTATTCCGAGCAATATCCTTTCATATCTTAAGAACATTGCCCAGACAAGAGAGAGTTTTCACAGGAACATGCATGCAGCACAGTTTCTCTCATTTGTAAGATCTTGCAAAGGGGAACAAAGCCCAGATCCAGAACGGCTGAGGTCAAAGTCTTTCCCAGTTTTACTAACATACGTTTTCCAGCTCCTAGTGCTTGAGTAGATAGTCTGGAACAAAGACAAGTGTTTACCCAATCATAGCAGATATAATAAAGGTTCATCGTTAACAAAATTAGCACAGAGTGGCAATTACAGGGAATGACTTAGTTGAGCTTGACTCCTAATGGTGTCAAGGAGCCGTGTTGGCTCAGTGGTTAGAATGCAGTATTTCAGGCTAACTCTACATTTCCACTGCCAAGAATTCGATTCTAACCAACTCAAAGTTGACTCAGCCTTCCATCCTTCTGAGGTTGGTAAAATGAGGACTCAGATTGTTGAGGACAATATGTGGATTCTGTAAACCGCGTAGAGAGGGCTGTAAAGCACTATGAAGTGGTATATATAAGCCTAAGTACTATTGCTAATGATTACATACACATCCATGTTATTTTCTCAGCAAAGAATCTTATGGTTGTGCAAATTCTGCAGAGGACAAGAATTTGAATGGGGAAGGTTCATATCAATCCATTCCACACTACATAAATGAAAAGCTAATTCAAATTGTTATACTCTGCCTTGTGATCTGGTGGTATCTTATGCATTCTGAATGAGAATGTATACATGATATGTCTGTCTGCCTAACTGCCTGTCTGTATTCCATGCCATAAATAGATGTTTTTAAGGAGGATCTTAGCTCTGTGATGCCATGGATTTAGTTTAGTTTTTATTTTTATTTTTATTGCAAACACTTTCAAACTTTTTATCCATTTTCCTCCTTAGACTGATGTGGACAATGATCTGGTTGGTGACCAATGTGACAACAATGAAGACATAGATGACGATGGCCACCAGAATAACAAAGACAACTGCCCTTACATTGCCAATGCTAACCAGGCTGATCATGACAAGGATGGCAAAGGGGATGCCTGTGATCCTGATGATGATAATGATGGTATCCCAGATGACAGAGATAATTGCCGACTTACATTCAACCCTGACCAGAAGGATTCTGATGGTAAGATTATATTTTCCTGCAACAGAATTTGTTTAAAAACAAACCACAAACCGATGTGCACCTACCGTCACTTCTAGTATCTTTCACATAGAGTCTCAATTTTGGGCACCTGAATAATACATGACACTGGCTTTCTTTAATCTAGTGATCTCCAAATGGGTTGTGCTATAATTCCCAGATTCCCCTAGCCAAGAAGGGGAAAAAATCTATATTTCAGAATGCTAACTAAATGTTGAGCTTGTTATATTTGAAATGAATCTGTTTAGTATTTTTGCCACTGACCTGCTTGGAGAATTCATGTGGGGTCTCCTTCTAAAGATGCCCTGAACTTTAAAATGCTAACAATGTCAAATCTACTGAGTGGCAATAAAAAATAATGTTGCAGTTATTGCTTTATTGTTGCTTGATTATAATTGTAGTCTATTGGGGTTGTGGGCATAGCGAATCTTATATTTTGCTTATCCTGAGAAAAATAAAAAAGGAAATCAGAAATTGCTGCCTGAAAAGAACAGAATCTTGAGACAAAGTCTGAATTGAAGACAAGAGACTAAGAGTCATGCTTCACCTTGGAAGGATAATTCCAGTGGTGGGATTCAAATATGTGAACAACCGGTTCTCTGTGTGGATGCCACTTCCAGAAGTCCATTCTGGACCTAGGCAACAAAAAAATTAGCTACCGGTTCTGCCGAAGTGGTGTGAACTGGCTGAATCCCACCATTGGATAATTCTGATTGTGGCTAGTTCCCAAATTGGGCTAAGGCAGAATAAAACAATACATTTTTTATGTTTATTTTTACCCTGGCAGCTCAAATTTACCAGCCATTGAAGCTGAGTATGAAATTTGAACTGTTTAATACTATTCTAATCCAGGGTTCTCCAAATCTGGCAACTTTAAAACTTATGGACTTCAGCTCCATGCTGGTTGGGGAATTCTGGGAGTTGATGTGCACAAATCTTCAAGTTGCCAAGTTTGGAGACCCCTATCCTAATCACTGCATAGCATTGGCTATAGTACACAGAAATGCATGTGTTAATCTATCATATTTTTGTGATTCTAGTCATACAAATTGGTAGGTGATTAACTGTTCTATGACCAAGACTGTCCTGCAGAGTAACCTGTATCATTCATATTTGATTGTCAAGGTTCCTCCTGTTAGGATTCTACCAAGAAATTAAACAGAATACTAAGTTTGTTCTGTCACTTGAGAAACTGTTTTTCAATTAGTAGGCCTCAAAAAACTGATGGGTGAGATCAGTGGTGGGATTCAAATATGTGAACAATCTGTGTGGATGCCGCTTCTGGAAGTCCATTCTGGGCCTTGGCAACAAAAAATTAGCTACCGGTTCTGCTGAACTGGTGCGAACTGGCTGAATCCCACCACTGGGTGAGATGCATTTTTAAATATCTGAAGGATTAGTAGTCTTATCAGCAGCAATTAGTACTGCAAATAATTAGACAACATATGAACTAAATAATTAAAACCTCACTTGGACAAAGAAGTCACTTCTTTGAAGCTACCAAAGAGAATAAAACTGGAGACATACCTTTACCCTCTTAAGTGTTAAGATAAACAGATATACAGTTGGTCAGTATTTGGAATTCAACTTGGACTGCAGTCAGTCAGTGGAATGTGAGGCCATTTTCTCATAAAGAGAACTATGAAAAACCTTAATTCTTGCTATCTGTATTTTTTAAAAAGCTTTTTTGATGCTCTATGGCCAAGTTCCTACTGATAAATATTTATGTAAATTCCTAAAAAATGTGTGAGAATTAGCCAGGAAAAGAAAGAGAGAACTAGCTCCCATGATTTTCCATGTTTTATGAGTGGTGAAACATCAGAAGTGAGAGAGTTAAGAAATCTCTATATAAATCTGACTGTCATGATTCTGATCAATAAGACCAAATAAATCAGAGCTCTGAGGCAAGAAAGTTCCTCAAGGAACATGTTTATTAGATACATAATATTGGCACATTCAAAAGTGAAACCAGATCTAAACCTCCCCCCCCAAGAATTAATGTAATACAATGTAACAGTTCCCACTCCTGTATTCATGCTGCCCAATAGAACCCCTTGGCAGGCTTTTCTACCTCAACGATCCTCCTCCATCCCTCCGGCATGGGAATGACCTTGGTTCCCACAAGAGTTGCTCATGTTTAGACTACCAGAAATACCTTCTCCCCCCTCCCCTTCTTGTGGCAACCCAAAACAAAAAAATGGCTGCCGCCAGGTTCGTTGCAGAGTTGACACTGACATAGTTAGCACAGATTTGGAAAAAAATGTTAGACTACCTGTAGGTGCAGATTAGTAATAATAGATTTGTAGAATGGATGAACATTTTATAAGCTGTTATTTAGTCCAGGAACTCAAAAGACTTGTTGACATTTTTGTTCTGGATTTTGGCATTTATTTTAATGCCTGTTGTTTTTTAACCTCAAAAACTAACTCAAACCATTATAAATATTCCATTATGAGACCGAGCTTTTCAACTATTTACCATAATCCCATTAGTCAATCTTTGTGTATAAGTGATTTGGGGGTGGTAGATTCTATTCTCTTGAGTGGTTTAGCCTTGAATGCCCCATTAATCAACCACAATTTCAATATAGTCACATTCCAAAGCTTCAAGGAATGTCTATTTCACTTTTAGCTTATCACTGCTATTTTATGAAATAAACAAGTTTCCCTCATAAAGAAAGAAAGAGTGGTCAAAGCTATTTTTATATGATTTACTGTAATGCCTTCTTCAATCATTTAATACAGATGGGACAAAAATGCATGGCCATAGTCTTAAGTACTCATGGCAAAACATTGCTGAAGACATTTGATGACACAGAGATAAAATAAAATAAAATCCCAAAGCACCTTTTAAATATCAAATTCTGTTGTACTCAGGATTTCTTAGGGTATAAAGGATTCATTTCCCCCTCTTTCCCAAACAGCTCATATTCTACTTTATATGTAGTTGTGGCATAGCAATTATTCTCAGATTTTCAGCCTCACGATAATCTTACTTAGAGTTTCCACTAGATCAGTAAACCTATAATATTTTCACATGACTACTTTGAGAAGAGAAGTGTACCAATGATTTCCCCCTTCTTTACAATTCATAAATGTACAAAAACACCTGAAGTGTAAATTTGGCACTTCATCATTAATGTGTATTTGTACGTTAATGATGATTGGCATATAGCAATCACAATATAGCAAAAAAATATAAAGAGCCAGAATTTAATTATCAAGTTAGGAACAATGGTTTGGTTCTAAAAAAAAAA